CATTTGCCGAACGAACAAACCGTCGAAGCAACATACGAAGTCATTCGAAAAGCAATTGACGGTTCAACAATGCTCCTTGAATATTTCGAATTGAACAAACGCGATCCAAACGCACGAAAGTATTATTATTTCGAAATTCCAAAGCACTATACGTGGAGAGCAGAAATGATGATGAAGAAAAAGGAACGTCCACTGTTGAATACGAACAAAAGACGAACTTCAAGAAACAGAAGTCATGGTTTCCACGAAGAGATGGTAAACACACAATCAGACGCCAAACAATGACGTCATCAAACAAATGACGCTTCACAACGACGAGATTACCAACTACCAAGACAGTCGCATAATCACTGCTCCAGAAGCAGCACATCGCCTCCGAACAGAACTATTTAAGAAATGAAGAAAAGTGAAGGAAGACGTTACCAACACCAACAAGGTAATCTGATACTAATAATAATACTCATTCAAGTCATAATACTCATTCGATATATTATGATTCCAAAAACTGACTTTATGATCGATTTTAAGACGAAGATTTGTAAGGGTTTAGTTGGACGTAGAAAGTTGACTGACCAAGAACAGTTGGCCTCTGAACAGCGACGTAAAGAACTACTACAAAGAAATTGGGCTATTCTTTGACAAGCCAAAAGTATAAAATCGACTTTTCAAAGAATTTCCTTCCCATGGAGTGAGTATTCAAAACTATAGAAATGCATTTTATCAAATAAGCACTATAATTTTATTGAAATTAATTCGATTATGCCCCATTGAAGAATCACCTTAAACATCTGAACAATTTATTTTGAGCAGGTACTTTACGGCATTACAGCAGCTGCATTACACTGAAATTCAGCTGTAGTGAAATATTTTTCCACAAAAGAATGAGGTACTTTGATACAGAATGAACAATATTTCCACTACTCAGAAAATAACGAAGAACATTTCATGTATATTAGAAAGTCTGTGTATTTAGTGTGTTTCTGGCCATTTATTCATGCACTGCAATGTATCTTCCATTATTTTTTGCAAGGGATATACTCTAATTAAGTTTTTAAATATTCTGAAGCCTGCCCTTTTTTTTCCCTGCTTAAGAAGTTTGTATTTCATAATCCCTTGCAAACCTACTTGTGAGGAATCCATTGTATCTAAAACATAATCTACTCACACCTATGCCTGAATGGCATGGTGCTTACTTAAGCAGAGGGAAAACTTTAACTTGCAGGTGCTCTTATACTGATATAGCATCATTGATTTATGTAATTAATTAATTCTTTCATGAAATTGGAATTGTGATGTCAACACGAATGTTTACACAACTGGATACTGGTGAAGAGTGCTTCATATTTTGGAGGTCCTGGTTTGTTTCTCAGTATGGCAGCCAGCTACACTGACTTGAGAGGTTTGGTAGGTAAATACTGGGACAGTATCTTAAAATACTCCATGATCAGTTCGTTTCAAAGAATGTTTCTCCAAAACATTTGTGTCCACCTACAAGTCCAAGGGACATTCCAGCCCAGAAGACCAACATCATTGTAGTTGAAAAAGCATCCTTAAATAACCAATGAATCAGTCATGAACTTTCAGAAAGACTTTGGGCTTGCAATACAGAACATGTTTTATTTGTCTATTTAAAGGAGATTTATCACAATATGAAGCAACCTACAACAAAATTTCTGCTCTATATTCAATATGTGCATCAGCAATCATAACTTTGTAACATCACATTTATCTATGCATCCATTTGCTGTACGATGGAAACAACTCTTGAAACTAAAGTAGGGATATTTAGCATTGCTATGATCACCATCAATAGCTACCCTAACAGGATTTTCTGTGTTCTGATAGAGATTAATAATTATTAATTATAATTGGATATTTTTGAAGTGTTCACTGTGATAACTGTTTACATAAAATTCATTCTAGTAAACTTTAGATAAATGGCAGACAAAGTGCTACAGAGTGATCCACACCACAACTTACTTTCTTCACCATAGCTCCAACTGCAACCTGAAAACAATACAGAACTTATTTTCAGTTTTTAAATTATTTCAAAACAGAGTTTCATATAAGCATTAACATACACATTTTAAGAGAGCACAGCAGATAAACCCTTTTCAATTAGAGTGTTAAAAAATTAAAATACAGCTAATGGACAGGTTCAAAACTTAATATTGTATAAGAGAGAGAGAAGGCCTACTACCCTCACCAGTCTGTCTGTCTGCATGTAACAACTTGAGAAGTGTTGGATTGGAAATGTTACAAAAATTTGTTCACATCCTAATTTTGGCAGAAATAAGACAGCAACAACAGGCACTACATAAAGACCTATATGTGCTTTTGCACGTGAATATTAATGGATGTGCAATTCCCAGCCATGCAATGTAGGGGAACCTTTGCAATGTCATCACTGCATCATCCAACCTGCCGACACACATGTAATTGACCCAGCCAACTGTGATGTCACTGACACCAATTTCAAACATCAACAGTCAAATTCTGCCAAACATATCAAAATCAAGTACGTGATATTTCACCGGAAGTTTTTTCATGTTTTTGAAACAACGCGGTTTTCGTGATTTTCCAACTACAATCGGAACCCGTTTGTCACTACCGTCACTGTTAACACACAGAAGAACAGTAATTCGGTGTTTTGCACGTATTCCCCCGTGGCAAGATTCACCTTTCAATGCCAGAGTCCTATCCGGGAGGGCGTTGTAGAAAAGTCCGGTCTCATCCGCATTATAAATGTCCCGCGGCTCATATCCCTCCAGCAGTGTTGGCAGTCTCTCGAGCCACAGCTCCGTTATTTCCACATCCACAGCAGCACTTTCGCCTTTCCTTTGTCCTTGTAATAAAAGCATTTGTGAAGAAATTCACACTGCACATGCCATCTGGCATCGCTGGAACGAAATATGAGTGCACCCTAATTAAAATCGTAAAATTTCTGACAATGAGCACCGCCATTCACTCCAATATCACCCCTGCACCGCTGACCCTCATTCCAAAAGAATGTGCTGGTTGGGCGACATAACAGGTTACCGCTACTGTTTATTCCAAAAACATTGTGCGTCTTTCGGTATTAATTTATCTCAAAACCCAGCATTTTAATTTCTCAGAAACGATCATTGCGGGAAAATTGTTGGCCGGGACTAAGATTTTTGAACGATCGATGCGATAAAACGATAGTTCGAGGAACGATAGAAGCGGGAAAATGTAACATTATTTTATATGGGATGTATTCGGGACCGAACAAAACGGACGATGCATCCGGGAAAACGATAGTTCCGGGAACGATGGATAGAGGTTTCACTGTATTTTATAACTTATAACATGTTCATTTATCACCAAAACAAATAGTGAGAAGAATTCACTGACAGGCCTGTGTGTTGGATGATTGGTCGTACAACATGCCAGAAAGAAAATTTCGGCATTTCTGGAACTTACCCATAGTAACATTGTGGGCACTCTGCTAAGTGAGTGTGAGTGCATGTGTGCATGCTTGCACCTCTTAAGAGATAGACCAATTTTCCCCACAGTAAGCACGAGGGTGACTTCTCTCATAATTAAGCATGACAGAGAACAAACTATGCTTTATACTAGAAGTCATTGAGATACACTAACCACTGGCCTAGCTGATGATGTAGATTTGTGGTAAAAACACAAATACCATAAACAAGAACAGAGAAACTCTACTACATGTTAGTAAGGTGGTTGTTGCTAAAATAAATACAGAAAAAAAAGTATTGTTCATATCTGATTATCAGAACACAAAAGAAAGTTGTATAAATACAAAATTTTAGTCTGAAAATCTGAAGGGAAGAGATCGCTTTAGACATAGTATCCTCCCACCCATGTGTACATAGGTGGGAGGATATTATGAATATCAGCATATCTTAAAATAGGATGCAGCAGTGGGCTTTTATGAAGACGGTAAAGAATCTTCTTGTTACATTAAGCCTGAGTGACTATCAGCTTCTAAACGACTATGCTCCATGAGTTAATTTTCTAAAAGTCTTGGTTGGAAATTAAATACAATTAAATCACCTTTACCTTCAAAGGGAAGAATTGGTCTTTTACATTTCCAAGTCCCAAACACCCTCTTCTGTTGTGACCCCACATGTAGAGGTCACCATTATTGCTGACAGCAGCAAAATGGCCAATGCCTGCACTCACAGCAATAATCTGCAAGTCAGGTTGGAATTCATTCCGACCAAACAGCGTAGTTGGTATCTGTGTAGGTTCTTTGGCATGATTAACTATGGGGCCTTTTCCCAGGATCCCATATCCCCATACAAACACATCTCCATTATCTGACAGGAACAGAAAGAACACTGATCAATGTGTAGCTCATTTTAACTTGAGTTGTGTTATTCATCTGGCTTAACCACTATAAGGTAGGTTGTTGAATTCACTACCTTGCATGAGAGCATAGGTAATACTAATAAGAGTTGAAAGTGTTTTTGTGATACCCTACTGGCCTTAATAATAATTTCTTGCAGATACAGGGTGGTGCAAGAAATGGTACCCGACTGAAAGTTTAAATAAAGGATTTAATATTCATATAATGGTACATATATATCAATGAACACAAAGAATAATTCATGGAGATTTATCCTTTATGGATTGCATGCTCAATATGACCACAATTCTGTCGTGCAACTTCCAAAACACTCTATGACTGCAAAGCCTACAACAATTATCACACTGCACAAAGCCAGAATTTATTTACTCATACTTCATAAAATATTCACCATATCAAAAATCATTACAAATAACAGTTTTAATGAAGTGTTTAACCTATGTCATGTACTGATTTTTGGATGATGAGCCATTTCTGAGATTGCTGTAATTATCTCTCTCCCCACTACTCCTAACTTGCATTAATTATAAGAGAGGTAGCATGCTGAACCAAGACAATGAGGAATAAAAATGGATACAAAATCACCTGAAGATGGTACTCAACACTGCTACATTAAGCACTGTGTAATAGTTGTAATCAAAGTTTAAAGTAATTAACACCACTGCAAAGTACATGACTGCCTGGTAACCCATCTACACAGACAAAACCTACCCATCGTTACATTGTGTCCTCTGTAAGATATTAATTAATCATCTCTTAATAATACATATGTAGCAGTAGAAAGCATTAGTTCAGGTAGCATTTATTTGCAACAAGAATCAGGTACGGATGACGCAACTACAGCTCGCCGCAAACCAGCTACGGCCACCGGACCACCAGATAAATAGCAAAGTGCAGAGTCTATTCCTATGAATAACAACATCTAGTGCAGTGTCGCTTAAAATACTTTTCGTCAAATGTCCTATTCATTATTTATTTTCTAAATCAAGTTTGAGCCATTTAATTAAATGAATTTATTTCCCTGATGCCACTGATGATGACCTCTTGAGGTTGAACTGCATATAGCAATAGTGTCTTTTTTATAGTGTTAATAGTTGTTTGTTTGCTTATTTATAATCAGATTTGAGTTTATAAATCAAACCTACCATTCACTGCAATGCAGAAAGATCCTCCTGCTGCTACATCAATAATTTTGCCAAGACCCTGGCATTTTTTCAAGTATCTGGCTGTATTTATCTGCTGTATTTCCTCATGAAGTAGCTGGCTGTATTCTGAGTTGCCCCAACCAAACACTTCACCCTTATCTGAAATTGTTATATGTTATGATTATGCATCATTATTTAAGACTTCAGCAAATGTAATGTATTAAAATGAATTGTGCTAAAATTAAAATGGTGAAAATAGGCACAAAATTTTGCAAATCAGAATCCATGTTAAACTGTAGGTCTCCTCTACCAACCATATTCTCATGATCACTCTACCACTGCAACTAAGAGAATTTACCCTATGGGTGCCTCTACATGAGACAAGACTTCTATGCCCCAGCCTAGGTGGCCAGAAACCAAGGTCATCACAAACAATAAATTGGGACTTGAGACACAAAGAAACATTTACCCATAATACCTGTATTTGATTATGAGCCGGGATAGCTCAGTCAGTATAGTGACTAGCTACGGGCTGGACGACCGGGGTTCAATCCCCGACGGGGGCAGAGGATTTTTCCTCTAGCCTCTGCGTCCAGACCGGCTCTGGGGCCCACCCAGCCTCCTCTACAATGGGTACCCGGGTCCTTTCCCAGGGGTAAAGCCGGCCGAGGCGTGATGCTGACCACTCACCCCCATCTAGTGCCGAGGTCAAGGAAGAGAGGAGCTATACCTCCTCTCACCCCAAACGCCTACATGGCGTATAGTGGGACAAACTTTACTTTACTTTTACCTGTATTTGATTATAATACATTCCATCAGTTTTTACTTCTAACAAGGCTGAAACACCATTTAGTACATTCTAAACACACTCTTTGCAATATTCTCATTAGTATTAATGTTTCTTTCCTACAAAGCTAATTATACTATACATATGCACATGCAGTCAGAAAATATTTTTCATTGTATTTCACTTAATATTTGACATGTGGAAAAATGTTTCAAATCATAGCTGTAGATGTTAATGAGATCTTTATTTTATATCACGTATCAATTTTTTGTATAACCTCTTTTTGAGAAAAATCATAAAAGATTTACTGCAGATTCATACAAAGTGGAAGTTGTATTTAACAAATATAGTCCAAAATTAAATTCACTCTGCTTTTAGTGCAGACCCTCCCCTCCTCCTATACCAAATGCCATTAAGATCAATTCAGAAATATGGAAGATGCATACACACTAAGCATTGTAACTCAGTTGCTACCTTACAGCACCTGATGTTTCACACAGCTTCTTCTATTCATGTGCACACAGCTTACATTCACCTGAAGTATCTATAAATGCTTTTGTGAAAATTACAATAAAGGAATACTCACCATTGATAGCAAGAACACAGTCGGCAGTGCTAGAAACCTTGACAATGTTCTCTCCCTCAATATCACCCAACACTCTGCATGGCTGCCACTCAGAAATGAAGTGACCCAGACCAGTCTGTCCATCAGCTCCACACCCACATGCATACACCTCTCCATTCTCGTTGACAAACAAACTGAACCAACAAAAGATAGAGAATATTTTTTTAGGTGATCATGCTTGTGCTTCTCAAACATCTCCCAAGTGAAGCAGCCAGTTTTCACAATACCTGATACAAAACCTAATTTAGCCTATTTTATTTTATGAGAAATGATGTGTTACCCCAGTAACATGTAAACCAAATGATACATTTTCAATAACCCTTAAAGTCTTGGCCAATTAAAAACCCCACTCTGCCTGTATGATAACCATTGGGCATTTAAATGTCTCTTGAACTTTTAAAAGTGTATGATTTCTGAAAAATAATTGTACTACCATCACTTTTTAAACTTCTGTGAGTAAACAAGAAGTGCGTGGAAGAGGATACATCATCCCACATATTCCCAAAAGTCCAAGCTTTTATTTAAATATGTTATGTATAAAACCAGTTAAACTTTAATTTTTTCCAGCAGGTTTTGGATGTCATCATCATCATCCATTGCTGTTTCCAGCCTGGGGCTGGGTCCACTTGGTAAAATCCCTCCATCTCTTCCTGTCCCTCCTGAGTCAACACAAGGAATAAAAATCAGCTTCATAGACCAATTTCCAACCTCTCATGTTTTCAGAAGAGTGCATATTATGCAGGGATCAAAATTTTCAACAGTCTACCATCAAATCTCTCAAGTCTTGTAAATAAAAAGTCACAATTTAAACCAGCATTAAAAAGATACTTAATTACACACTCCTTTTACTCTGTTGATGAATTTCTTATGTTTACAAGTAAGTCATAATTTATCTATTGTATATAATGGGTGGATTTATTTGTAACTTATCTCTACTTTATGTGAACCCTTTGTTTGTATTTTTGTGAAATTTATATAATAATATGACTTGTATTTGTATAACATCTATTGTATTATTAAGACTTATTCTACATCCTATTGTCATCTGACTAACTTACGGATCCATGGAATGTAATAAAGATGTATGTATGTATGTATGTATGTTTTATTGGTATTATTTGTGATAAAAATACTTCTGGTTTTTGAAAACAATGGCAATTATTGCAGAGTGGAAAGACAATAAAAGAAAGGTTTCACATGCTAAAAGCCAAGAGTAAAAGAATATAAAGGGCAAGGTTGTACATGAGAAGGTTAATATTGAAAATGAAGTGTTGCTTGTCAGAGTGGTACAAAAATACTAGAGCATGGATGGCTATATAAGCCAGACAGCTTACTTATTTGGACTAATTCAGGTTAGATAAAGACACATCTAGGCATACAATGAACCTACAGTACTATTTCAGGCATCCTACTGGTGGATCCGAAATAAGAATGTGCAAGACTGTATTCTGTAATATTTTTTGTACTTCTGCTAAATGTGTGAGACACAAGGTTAATGTAATCTGAAGACTTACAGACTTCTGGCTCTAATTATTCTGATGGGAATAATTCATAAACCCAGCACTGAAATGTACTGGTCAACATATTAAATACCACATCATTTTTCAGAAAACGTTTGACAAAATAAACAAGGTCCATCCAGTATACAATCACCTGATTACAAAATTTAGGGAAATGTTTCATCCTGGCAGCAGAGTAATTGTGGGTGAGTCTTATTCTTTCAAAAGGCTGGCTGGATTGAAAGCAATTCATCAGGACATAACAGGCCAGATTTGGCAACTACAATAGCAGTGTATATACAGGACAGGTAATGCACAATACTGGAAACACTGAACTAGGGCTTTCTGGATTCACACTGGTACATTTTATTATCAGATGAGAACAGAACTGTGTATCTGGACAGTTTGTACAGGTCCCCCAGACTGTACACTAAACTCCACAAGAAGAGCACAAATGTGTGTGGTACTGCCTGAGAAAATCACATAGTTCAACCAAAGGATATAGATAAAAAGGCCCAAAAAAGAGGAGAAATGGAAGTGTGGCAACTACCATCATTAACCTATGTCATATGGAATGACAAATGCCATGCCAAGGTGGACACAACTGACAGAGGGAAACAAGACACAAAGATAAAGCTGCAGATATTCAAAATGAACATTATTCATGAATACAAACAGTGCATGGTGGTGTTGATTCAGGTGACCAGGTTACACAAACACATCAATCTATGTGCAAAACCATGAAATAGTACAAAAACCTGTCCTTGCACATGCTAGACATTACCATATGTAGGACTTGCTAGGGTCCAGCCATGAGCACTGGAAAGGCAGGTATATACAACCATATCAGCCAGCCACATCAGAACCCTGATGATGGGGACAGAGGGTTCCTGAAACGTTGGATTTGTCTTTTAACCATCTGACATGGCTGATTGCCCGAGACGATTTTATTGAGTTACGTCGCCACGAAAGCTTCAAATCACATATGTAAAAGCCTTGTAATCTGGATAACCATGAATCCAGGTAAAAAAAGTACCCACCTGGACTTCAGACTTAAAATTAAGCACAGTTTAATCGAGAAGCATCATGGGCCATGTCCTTTATAATTTGGTGGTAAGAAAAAAACATCACCATCAACCGTCTGTTTGAAAGACTTTTGCGACCCACATCTGGCCAGCCCAGAAAAAAAGTATTCCTTCCATCAATGTATTGTGTGCAAGACCAATGGCATCTGAAAGGTAGTATATCAAATGTGTGCACCATGCAGAGATGTTCCAATGTGTTATGAGCCCTATTTCCAGATTAATTGCACACACCACAACTTCTAGAGGTTCAACAATATACAGTGAAACCTCTATCCATCGTTCCCGGAACTATCGTTTTCCCGGATGCATCGTCCGTTTTGTTCGGTCCCGAATACATCCCATATAAAATAATGTTACATTTTCCCGCTTCTATCGTTCCTCGAACTATCGTTTTATCGCATCGATCGTTCAAAAATCGTAGTCCCGGCCCACAATTTTCCCGCAATGATCGTTCCTGAGAATTTAAAATGCTGGGTTTAGAGATAAATTAATACCGAAAGACGCACAATGTTTTTGGAATAAACAGTAGCGGTAACCTGTTATGTCGCCCAACCAGCACATTCTTTTGGAATGAGGGTCAGCGGTGCAGGGGTGATAGTTGGAGTGAATGGCGGTGCTCATTGTCAGAAATTTTACGATTTTAATTAGGGTGCACTCATATTTCGTTCCAGCGATGCCAGATGGCATGTGCAGTGTGAATTTCTTCACAAATGCTTTTATTACAAGGACAAAGGAAAGGC